TTCATTTTCTTTTTCTCCCATAGTAGCAGAATTTTTAGCTGGCCAAATGGCCACCCAGAATAAAGACTATATTCCCCTAGACTCTCTTGCCATCATGTGTGCTCATGTGACTTGTTTTTCATCAGTGGGAGATAAGGAGAAACACAAAGCAATTGAGTCTCTGATCACTTTAAGAGCACCTAAACATATAAAACAAGTATTAATAGACCCCAAGGGAGAAATAGACAGCAACAGAATAATAGGAGGGGACTTTAATACTCCACTTTCAACAATGGATAGATCATCCAGAGAGAAAATCAATAGGGAAACATAGGTCTAAAATGATACGTAGACCAGATAGACTTAGCACACATACACAGAACGTTCCATCCAAAAGCAACAAAAAACACATTCTTTTCAAGTGAACATGAAGCGTTCTCCAGGATAGAGCATATGTTAGGCCACAAAACAAATCTTAATAAATTTATGAAAACTGAAATTTTATCAAGCACCTTTTTCAAATAGAATGGTATGAAACTAGAAATCAATTATAGGAAGAAAACTGGAAAATTCACAAATACACGGAGGATAAACAACATGCTACTGAACAACAAATCAGTTAAAGAAATCAAAGAATTAAAAAAAATAATGAGACAAATGAAAATACAACATACTGAAACATACAAGATGCAGCAAGATAAGTTCAAAGTGATAAATGCCTACATCAAGAAACAAGAAAAGTCTCAAGTAAATAACCTAAACTTTACAGTTCAAGGAACCAGAAAAAGATCAAAGACCAAAGTTGGCAGAAGGAAAGAAACAAAAGAGATTATGGCAAAAATATATGAAATATAGATATGAAAAAGACAATGGAAAAGATCAATGGAAGTACAAACCAGTTCTTTGAAAAGATAAACAAAACTGATAAAACTTTTAGCTAGACTCACCAGGAAAAAAAAGAGAGAGAATTCAAATAAGTTAAATCAGATATAAAAAGGGAGACATTACAACTGATACCACAAAAATACAAGGGACCATAAAAGACTACTATGAGCAATTACAGGCCAACAAGTTTGACAAGCCAGAGAACTGTAACTAGAAACATGTAACCTACCAACACTGACTGATGAAGAAATAGAAAATCTGAGCAGACCAATTACTGGAAAGAAGGTTGAATCAATAATCAAACACTTCCCAAAATATAAAAGTCCAGGAATAGACAGCTCTATAGGTGAATTCTACCAAAAATTCAAAGAACAATTAATACCAGCCTTTCACAAACTCTTCCAAAAAAAACAGAATAGAGAGTAATAACTCCACGTTCATCTTATAAGGCAAGCATTACCCTGATACCAAAATCAGCCAAGGATACCACAAGTAAAGAAAAGTATAGGCCAATATCTCTGATGAAAATAGAATGCAAAAATCTCCAACAAAATATTAGCAAACTGAATTCAATGATACATTAAAAGTGTCATATATCATGATCAGGTAGGATTTATTCCAGAAATGCAAGGATAGTTCACCATCTGCCAATCAATCAATGTGTACACCATATTAAAAAATGAAAGATAAAAATCATCTCAGTAGATGCAGAAAAAGCATTTGACAAAATTCAACAACCATTTATGAGAAAAACTCTCGAAAAAGTGACTGTAGAGGGAACATACATCAACATAATAAAACCCATAGCTTACATCATATTCAACAGTGAAAAACACTAGTAACTTTTCCTCTAAGATCAGGAACAAGACAAGGGAACTCACTGCCACCACTTTTATTCAACATTGTATTGGAAATCTTAGTGCAATGAGGCAAAAAAAGAAGGAAACCACATCCAAGCCATAAAGGAAGAAGTGAAACTATCTGCAGATGACATGATATTATACATAGAAAACCCTAAAGACTCCACCAAAAGCTGTTAGAACTGATAAATTAATTCAGTAAAGCTGCAGGATACAAAATCAATACACAAAAATCTGTTGAGTTTCTATACATCAATAACAAACTATCAGGAAGATAAATTAATAAAACAATCCCATTTACAACTGCGTAAAAAAGAATAAAATATCTGGGATTAAATGTAACCAAGGCGGTGAAAAACTTCTGCACTAAAAACTAAGACTTTAATTAAGGAAAGAAACAGAAGACATAGATAAATGGAAAGGTATTTCCATGCTCATGGGTTGGAAGAATTAATATTGTTAAAATGTTGATACTAGGACTTCACTGGTGGCACAGTGGATAAGAAACCATCTGCCAATGCAGGAGACACGATCTGATCGATGGTCCAAGAAGACTCCACATACTGCAGAGCAACTAAACCCACACACAATTACTGAGCCTGCGCTCTAGAGCCTCCGAGTCACAACCACCAAGTCTGCAAAAGCCACAATTACTGAGTCCCACGGGCCCTAGAGCCCAAGAGTCAACAGCCACTGAGCCCATGGGCCCAGAGCCTGTCCTCTGCAACGAGAAGCCACTGAATGGCAAGCCAGCATCCTGAAATGAAGAGCAGCTCCCGCTTACTGCAACGAGAGAAAGCCCATGCAAAAGCAATGAAGACCTTGTGCAGCCAAAAAAAAAAGCAATACTACTTTCCAAATACTATCCAAAGCAATCTACAGAGTCAATGCAATCCCTATCAAATTTCCAATGGCATTTTAAAAAATTATTATTTACAAATTTTATTTATCTTGTTTACTTATTCATTTTTGGTTGTGCTGTGTAGAAGAAATCTGTGCCCCCTGCAGTGGAAGTATGGAGTCCTAACCACTAGACCATCCAATGGCATTTTTCACAGAGACAGAAAACATAATCTGAAAATTTATATGGAACCACAGAAGACCTCAAAGAGTCAAAGCAATTTTGAGAAATAAGAATGCAGTTGGAGCATCATGTTCCCTGATTTCAAACCGTATCACAAAGCAACAGTGATCAAAACAGTATGGTGTTGGCATAAAAACACACATAGATGAATGAAATAGATTAGAAAGTCCATAAATAAATCCATGCATATATGGTTGGTTAATTTACACCAAAGGAGCCCAGAATATATGATAGGGGAAAGGACAGTCTCTTTAATAAATGGAACTGGGAAAACTGGACAGCCACACATGAAAGAATTAAACTGAACTGTTATCTTTCACCATAGGCAAAGATGGACTCAAAATGGATTAAAGACTTGGAACATATGATGTGAAATCATCATTTGATATGGGTCTTGGTGATGATTTTTTTTTTTATTTGACACCAATGGCAATAAAAACAGAAGGAAATAAGTGGGACAACAGCAAACACAGCAGAGGAACATTCTGCACAACAGAATGAAAAGACAATCTACCAAATGAGAGAAAATATTTGCAGATCATTACATCTGATAAGGAGTTAACACCCAAAATACACAAAAATGCATGCAACTCAATAGAAAAAACTAAAACAATCCAATTAAAAAGGGAGCAACAGATCCGAATAGACATTTTTTCCACGGAAGACATACAGATGGTCAACAGGTACATCTAAATCCACATCATTAATCATCAGGGAGCTATAAATCAAAACCACAACGAGATATCACCTCACATATGTTAGAATGTGCTGTGTGCCACGTTGCTTCAGTCGTGTCCCACTCTTTGTAAGCCTGACTGTAGTCCGCCAGGCTCCTCTGTTTCAGGCAGATTCTCGATGCAAGAATGCTGGAGTGGGTTGCCATGCCCTCCTCCAGGGAATCTTCCCGGCCCAGGGATCGAATCTGCACCTCTTATGTTTCCTGCATTGGCAGGTGGGTTCTTTACCACTAGCGCCACCTGGGGAGCCTCCCTGTTAGAATACCAGTTATCAAAAAGGCAAAGAATAGTTAAGTGTTGGAGAAGATTTGGAGGACAGGGAACCCTTGTTCATTGTGGGAATGTAAATTGATATGGCCATTATGGAAAACAGTTTGGAGGCTCCTCAAAAATTAAAAATAAAACTACCACATGATCTAGCAATTCCACCTCTTGAGTATCTATCCAAACAAAATGAAAACACAAACTTGAAAGCTACCTGCATCCCATGTTCGTTGCAACATTATTTACAGCCGCCAAGCTATGGAAACAACCTAAGTGTCTTCAATGGACGTATGAATGAACAAAACGGAGATATCCGTTCCTCTCTGTCACTCCCACCCAAATGAGTCCCTTGTCGCTTGAGCACAACTTCCTGGGGTTACGATACCGGAGTCACAATATCTGATTTCACAACTGCCTTGGCTCCTAACTTGAGGTGGGGAGTGTTTGTTTATTTTTCTAAATTAAAGCAATTAAATCAAGTTTGGAGGATTTTGCAATGTTGCTGGAGGTAAGCCACTGTAATTGTGCCTTTGCTTCAGGCAACCAGCCTGGCAGGTGAGTCTCCAGAACCCACCAAAGTACCTCATGCAAGATAAAGAGACAGAAAGTCTCACTCACTCTTCACCTAGGATGCAACACTGTGGGCACCCACGGCAGAGGAGATGGAGCACCCTGGGCAGTGCAGACAGTCAAGGGTGGACGAACACTGCGCTGCCATCTGCAGAGCGGCCACTGTCCCCACGCAGGGGCCTCTCCATCCTCCACGCCAATTTTAATCCCCGTGCCCCACCCCAGTGTTCTTCTGGAAGCTTGTTCCATGCTGATGGCCTTAAGTCAATGAAGTAGTCCCCGGCGGCTTAAATGACACAATTCACAGAGAACACGCGCTCTTGCCCGTGTGCTTCATGGCCTCTGTACCGTATTTCAAACTTTAAAGGGGCTCACTTAAAAAAAAAAAACAAACCTCAAATTCCGTTGGAAAGGTCACTTTCAAGCCCTTCTATGAGCAAATAAATCTATTTCTCTAACGCATTTAGAAGGCAAGGCATAGCTTTTAAATTAAAGTTGCTGGGACCCCCGCCCCGCAGCACAGGGACCACGGCGGAAAAGGCAGCGATCCGAGGCAGGGCGCTGGGTACCACGCTGGCGGTTCCAGTCTGCGCATGCGCCCAGCCCGGCAGCCTGGCTCACCTGTCCGGTAGCCCGTGCTGTTGAGATAGACGGCAAAGGTGCGGCTCTCGTGCTGTGCCTGCCAGGAGGGCGAGGAGCAGTTTTCATTGTTGGTGTAGGTGTTGTGGTTGTGGACGTACTTCCCGGTGAGGATGGAGGAGCGCGAGGGGCAGCACATGGGCGTAGTCACGAAGGCGTTGATGAAGTGCGCCCCGCCCTGCTCCATGATGCGCCGCGTCTTGTTCATCACCTGCATGGAACCTGCAACCAGAGTTTTAGTGTTTTAGTGTTTAGAGGAGGTGAGACGCGGGCCGGCCGATCTCCAGCGCGTGAGCCCCAGTCGGGCACCGCAGTTAGAGACGGACACTGAGGCGCCCTGAGTAGGGTGGCATCCCCACCCCTCAGGAGGGGAGTGCATTTTGGAAACCTCCAGGGACTGACTGGTGGGCACTCTTGGCATTTGTGGGCAGCAGCCTGCAACACTTCCCTGCTGGCTCAGGTGGTAAAGCGTCCGCTTACAATGTGGGAGACCAGGGTTCGATCCCTGGGTCCGGAAGATTCCCTGGAGAAGGAAATGGCAACCCACTCCAGTACTTTTTGCCTGGAGAATTCCATGGATGGAGGAGCCTGGTAGGCTACAGTCCATGGGGTCACAAAGGGTCGGACATGACTGAGCAACTTTACTTTCACTTTTTTTTCACTTTCAGACCTCAGTGCAAAAAGGAAGTACTCTGCCAGTCCCCAGTTCCACTAGACATTCATAGGAGTGGTTAGGTAAAAACCTGTTCATAAGTTATCTGAGCCTAGTAAAGAACTTTGTCTTGCATATAAACATAACATTTTTTTTTTTTGCAGGGTATTAAAATACACTGGGTTTTTTTTTTTTTTTTGGAAAGCAACCACTGTGTAAACAGAGAGAAGATTATACCTTGTTTCATTTGGAACTTTCCCAAGAACTGTTCCCTCTTAATGAAATCTGATCATGCCAACCTGGCAACCCCAGCCTGCCTTCTCTCTGAATACATCTTGTCTCTGCTGAAACGCTGTGTGTCAGTCACGACCCGTGGTGGCTGCCTTTGTCCACCTGGTTCTTCCAGCTTGGAACCCACTTCCCACCTCCCCGTACATCTCACCCGTCACTGCAGCCGCACCTCCCTGGGATCGCTGTGGCTTCTGAGTCCCTTGAGCTCTTATTACACATGTGTTACTAGGACTTCTCAATATACTAGGAATGGTGATTTCATTCACGCCTGTTCTCGTGTCTCAATGAAGCTGTGAGCAGAGTAAGGTGCAGGGAGGCAAGGAGTTTGGAAACCCTACTGCGCGCCAGTGCCTGCACACCGTCCGCTCTCCTGCGGGCTCCAGGCGTGCAGAGACTGCGCTGAGTCCCCAGTGCCCCACAGCGTGTGACACATAGCGGGTACTCAATACACGTGTGCAGAAAAATGGATGTGTGACTGCATACCCGGCCGGCACCCAGACACATAGGAGGTTTCATGGAAATCCTTTTTCTCTTCCTTCTAAGGCTGTCCTCAGTCTTTTTTCTTTTCCTTGCAGTACTTAGGGTCTATAGTGGGTTGAATGATGCCCCCCCCCCAAATATATATGTTCCTGTCCTATGTCCAGACTCCTGTGAATGGGACCTAATTTAGACAAAGTCTCTGCAGAGGTACTAAAACACCTTGAGCTGAGATTGGTTAGGATGTGGGACCTAAATCCAAGGACAAGCGTCCTTCCAAGAGACAGAAGGAAGAAGGCACACAGACACGGAGGGGAAGGCCATGTGAAGACGGAGGAGAGATCGGAGGGAGGCACGTATATGCCTCTGAGGAACTCCTTGGGCCTCCAGGAGCTGGGTGAGGAGAGAAGGATTCACCCCTAGGGCTCTGGAGGGATCACAGCCCTGCCAACACTGTGATTGCAGACTTCTGTCTGCACAGCTCCGAGGCGGTAAATCTCTGTTGTTTTAAGCCACCCGGATTGTGCAATTTGTTAGGACAGCAACAGGAAGCCATCCAGGGTCTACCCGGTGTCTGACTCTTGCTGGGGAGCCAACCACCCCCAGAGACCTGAAAACAGCACATCAGACCCCCTCGGCACTCTGTCCCCAAAGACGGAAAAGGAGATTTACACGGCTCCTCTCCCCATTTTCCCACCGAACAGGGGAGGAAGCAGCCAGCGCTTTCCCAGGGAAAACAGATCACGTCTGTTCACGGCTGCAAACCATCCAGCAGCTTCCCTTCACACTCAGAAGAAAATACCCATTCTCTACTGGGGGTCTAAGACCCGTCTGGATCGGCCTTCCCTGCCAACCCACCTCCCCGTTTCTTTGACTTCATCTATTCTGTATATTCGGAGAAGGCAGTGGCACCCCACTCCAGTACTCTTGCCTGGAAAATCCCATGGATGGAGGCGCCTGGTAGGCTGTGGTCCATGGGGTCACTGTGAGTTGGACACGACTGAGCGACTTCACTTTCACTTCTCACTTTCACGCGCTGGAGAAGGAAATGGCAACCCACTCCAGTGTTCTTGCCTGGAGAATCCCAGGGATGGGGGAGGCTGGCGGGCTGCCGTCTATGGGGTCGCACAGAGTCGGACACGACTGAAGTGACTTAGCAGCAGCATTCTGTATATTCTTGCCACCTCTTCTTCTGTGTGTCCTTGCCACTGACTTCCAAAAGTAGGAAGTCAAGAGACACCCGGAGTAACAGGCAAATTTGGCCTTGGAGTACAGATGAAGCAGGGCAAAGGCTAACAGAGTTTTGCAAAGAGAACGCACTGGTGACAGCAATCACCCTCTTCCAACAACACAAGAGAAGACTCTACACATGGACATCACCAGATGGTGAATACTGAAATCAGATTGATTATATTCTTTGCAGCCAAAGATGGAGAAGCTCTATACAGTCAGCAAAATCAAGACCGGGAGCTGACTGTGGCTCAGACCACGAACTCCTTATTGTCAAATTCAGACTTAAATTGAAGAAAGTAGGGAAAACCACTAGACCATTCAGGTATGACCTAAATCAAATCCCTTATGATTATACAGTGGAAGTGACAAATAGATTCAAGGGATTAGATCTGATAGAGAGTGCCTGAAGAACTATGGACAGAGGTTCATGACATTGTACAGGAGGCAGTGATCAAGACCATGCCCAAGAAAAAGAAATGCAAAAATGCTAAATGGTTGTCTGAGGAGGTCTTACAAATAGCTGAGAAAAGAAGAGGAGCTAAAGGCAAAGGAGAAAAGGAAAGATATTCCCATCTGAATGCAGAGTTCCAAAGAATAGCAAGGAGAGATAAGAAAGCCTTCCTCAGTGATCAACGCAAAGAAATTGAGGAAAACAATAGAATGGGAAAGACTAGAGATCTCTTCAAGAAAATTAGATACCAAGGGAACATTTCATGCAAAGATGGGCACAATAAAGGACAGAAATGGTATGGACCTAACAGAAGCAGAAGATATTAAGAAGAGGTGGCAAGAATACACAAAATAACTATAGAAAAAGATCTTAATGACCCAGATAACTACAATGGTGTGATCACTCAACTAGAGCCAGACATCCTGGAATGTGAAGTCAAGGGGGCCTTAGGAAGCATCACTGCGAACAAAGCTAGTAGAGGTGATGGAATTCCAGTTGAGCTATTTCGAATCCTAAAAGATGATGCTGTGAAAGGGCTGTACTCAATATGCAAGCAAATTTGGAAAACTCAGCAGTGGCCACAGGACTGGAAAAGGTCATTTTCATTCCAATCCCAAAGAAAGGCAATGCCAAAGAATGCTCAAACTACTGCACAATTGCACTCATCTCACATGCTAGCAAAGTAATGCTCAAAATTCTTCAAATCAGGCTTCAATAGTACGTGAACCATGAAGTTCCAGATGTCCAAGCTGGATTTAGTAAAGGCAGAGGAACCAGAGATCAAATTGCCAACATCCGTTGGATCATCAAAAAAGCAAGAGAGCTCTAAAAAAACATCTATTTCTGCTTTATTGACTATGCCAAAACCTTTGACTATGTGGATCACAATAAACTGTGGAAAATTCTTAAAGAGATGGGAATACCAGACCACCTGACCTGCCTCCTGAGAAATCTGTAAGCAACAGTTAGAACTGGACATGGAACAACAGACTGGTTCCAACTTGGGAAAGGAGTCCGTCAAGGCTGTATATTGTCATCCTGCTTATTTAACTTATATGCAGAGCACATCATGAGAAATGCTGGGCTGGATGAAGCACAAGCTGGAACCAAGTTGCCAAAAGAAATATCAATAACCTCAGATATGCAGATGACAGCACCCTTATGGCAGAAAGTGAAGAAGAACTAAAGAGCCTCTTGATAAAAGTGAAGGAGGAGAGTGAAAAAGTTGCCTTAAAACTAAACATTCACAAAACTAAGATCATGGCGTCTGGTCTCATCACTTCATGGAAAACAGATGGAGAAACAATGGAAACAGTGACAGACTTTATTTTCTTGGACTCTAAAATCACTGCAGATGGTGACTGCAGCCATGAAATTAAAAGACACATGCTCCTTGGAAGAAAAGCTATGACCAACCTAGACAGCATATTAAAAAGCAGAGACATTACTTTGCCAACAAAGGTCCATCTAGTCAAAGCTATGGTTTTTCTAGTAGTCATGTATGGATGTGAGTTGGACTATGAAGAAAGCTGAATGCTGAAGACCTGAAGCTTTTGAACTGTGGTGTCAGAGAAGACTCTTGAGAGTCCTTTGGACTGCAAGGAGATCCAATCAGTCCATCCTAAAGGAGATCAGTCCTGAATACTCATTGGAAGGACTGATGTTGAGCTGAAACTCCAATATTTTGGCAACCTGATGCGAAGAACTGACTCATTGGAAAAGACCCTGATGCTGGGAAAGATTGAAGGCGGGAGGAGAAGGGGACGACAGGGGATGAGATGGTTGGATGGCATCACTGACTTGATGGATATGATGAGTTTGAGCAAGCTCTGGGAGTTGGTGATGGACAGGGAGGCCTGGCGTGCTACAGTCCCTGGGGTTGCAAGGAGTCAGACATGACTGAGCGACTAAACTGAACTGAACTTCCCTGCCCCTTGCTCACTTGGCTACATGAGTTTCCTCTTTGTTTCTCAGGGGCTCCAAGCTCACCCCTGCCCCAGGATCCTTGCACTTGCTTTCTCCCTTCTGCTGGGGAGTGCCTCTCTGAGATTTTGCTTTGCTGGCCTGTCCGATTATTCGGATCTCAACAGTCACGTCCTCAACAAGTCCTGGCCGAGC